TAAAAAAAAATAATAATAATAAATCTTTTTCAGAGTCTTTTTTTGTCTTTTCCAGGTTTTGTCCGCTCTGCGATGTGTCGTTTGAACTTTGGGATGTCAGAACAGGCACCGTTGGGCCTCGCCACACCACTCTCGAAATGTGAAAAAGACAAAAAATTGGAGGGCGCATCTGGTCATGTTTTTTTTTTTGTTTTGTTTTTTTTTCGTTTTTTTTTTCGTTTTTTTTTTTTTGTTGTTTTTTTTTGTTTTTTTTGTTTTGGGTGCTCACAGGAACCACCCCTACCTACCCCATCTTTCTGCTTCCTTAGCGTAACCTCTGCTTCCTCATCTACGGGGGCACTTGTTTGGCCCTCTCGGGTATACCGGACATCGGTTGCAGACACCAGCGCTAAGCCATGACAAACCTCTCCCAGCCCTAGTTGAAGCGCTATCGAGCGAGCCTTGTCGCACGGGCACTTTGGTCGCCAAGCATGATCGTTCCGTGTTTTTTTTCCTAATGAGCACCAGCCCAGGTTTGGTCAGACAGCGAATATTCCTTAGAGCCTTTCCCTAGGCAGTGTCTAGTGGTTCTACCCTGACCAATGTCTTACCTGAGACAGCCCTTCTGACCCAACCTGGGCGCCATGTTCCTAGCATAGCCTATTGCCGTATATTAGGGGTTGTGTTATTGTTCATGCTGAGGGGGCAAGGTTATCGATTCCGTAACCCACACCACTTCGCCGCAGGGCCAATTCCTGCCAGTGAAGACCTCCGGCCCATCCCCCCTTGCACCCTCAGTTGGTTATTATTAGTCCTGAGTTTATGATCCCAGGCCAGTTCGGAACCGAATGTTTCCACGGAGCCACACTAGGCAATGTCTTACCTAAGTCAACTCTAGACCAGTCTAGCCGCCTATTGGGATGATGTTTACAGTTGGTATGAGTGCCACTCTGGGCCAGTCCGGAACCGAATGTTTCCTCGGAGCCACCATAGGCAGTGTCCCTCTAGACCAACCTGTGTGCCACTCCAGGCTAGCCCGGAACCGAATGTTTCCTCGGAGCTAGCGGTAAGTTCATTCTAATGCTGCACATTTCGAGAGTGGTGTAACGACGCCCTTTGCCTGTTCAGACTGGCTATGGGATGTCTGGGCCGAATTTCAGGCCTAGCAGACGTTTTTCAGGCCCAGCTGATTCTTGTATGTAGCTGAGTTGGACCAGGTTTGTCTCTTAGTGCCTGGCCCACCCTTGTCCTTTTCAGGACATCCCTGCAGCATCAGCAGGGAAGCCTGCATGTGTCCGGTATGGACCCAGTCAGGCCATTTCAGGCCAGTGCACTAGGAGCAGGACTTCAGCCTGCATCATAGACCATCGATCAGAGATCCCATCAGACGGCCATGACACAGGGCAAAGCCACTCCCAGTAGGCCCAGAAGTATACAGCTGGCACTGGGCTCAGTCCTAGGCACGTAGGGTTAAGGATATACGAACACCGCAACTTCCACAAGTTATTTATAGTGGCAGCATGCACTTAGCATAGCGCAGCGCCACTTCCAAAAAATACGAGCTCTGCAGACCGTGCTATGTGCCGCGCATGCCGTGGAGACGACCCGATCTCAGCCAGAAAATCAGTTGCCTAACGCTGGGATTGACGAAACCGCGCTCTACTTTTCATGACAGTGTGCACTGCCCGCCACTAAAGGCCTAGTTGCACCGCTCGCCATCCGCCAACATTTTGAATGCATCCGTACTATTATGCTGCACCAGCAGCTGTAGAGGGGTCCTTGATTAATGCCCTAACTGGGGCTCAGCACTCCCCCTTTTCAACGTCCTCTCCTGTTTGCTACGTGATTTTTCCGTATGCCCCAACCACGGATTTCCCCAGCCTGTCTCCACATGTGAATAATAACTTGCCCAGTCCTTGCCCAGGCCGGGGATTTCCCCAGCCTGGAGAAAACTAAAGCCCCAAATTATAACAGAGCCAACCTCAAAATTAGAGATCCTAAACCAGATCCTATCCGAACATAGACTGATTAAACAACAAGATTCAGTACGCCTAATGGCTGACGATAGCCCAGGCTCTTTGGGGAGAGCATGGGTTGAAAAAGGGGTAATCCAAATGAAAGATATTTGGGACTGCCAATCCGGGGACTGGATCTCTACTGAGACACTCAGACAGAAATTGCCCAGGCTGCGCAACACTCTTACTAATTTTATCAAACTAAAATTAGCTATCCCAGCGCATTGGGTCACATCACTGAGGAGAGACTGTGAATGTAACCCATGCAGCTGGCTTCAGGACGCCGAAGAAGAAAGGATCTTCTGGAAAGTACTTGGGCCAGATCTAAGAGCAGGTACTCGAGCCCAGAAATGGTCGCTACACGGATCCAGAAACGGGAAACACTTCCTGCGCCTGGAAGAGGAGGACTGTATTCCATCCATCACGGACTGGAAGGAGGCTAGGGTCAAGAAACAGAAAACAAAAACAAAAACTTAAAAAAAGGCTTATCTTGCCAAGTGATCTCAACACAACCAGATCGCTTGGTGATAGAACCCCTGTCATACGTCTGGAAGACTGCTCAGCACTCTCAAACTGTGATCCCCATTATTCTATACAAGCCCAGAGTGGGAGTTCAAATACTGCACAGCCTGATAAAGAAACCTCCGATTTCAACAGCCAAGAAAAGACTTTCAGACCTCCAAGTGACTACGGTAACAGACAAGGATCTAGTAAAACTCTGGAAAGCCCTGAAAAGTATACCTTCCCAGAGAAACGCCGCCATTCAATGGCTGCAATCACTACAAGTCACTCCTACCTCTACCTGGCTAATAGCAAGAGGCATGCAGCTTTGTGCCCAAGATGTAATTGGGGATGGGAATCTGCAACCCACCTTCGGTTATCATGCCCGGTTTCTATCCAGATCTGGGAGTGGTGGAAGGAGAAGTGGAAGAGACAACTTGAACTCAAACAGGATATGGACTGGACAGACGAATTCATACTACACGGTAAGCCCCCTACTGTAAGCAATTTCGAGTCAGGAACTGCGTACAGAGCCCTTGTCTGCAGAGGTTTAATTATGGAAGGCATCTGGTCGGCCCGGAATGCCTTCATATTCAAGGGGGAGAAGCATCATGTCTGTCTGACCCTAAACTCGATCAAATCCGGCCTCAGAAGGGTAATCTATGCAGATTGGAGGCGTAGAGGCATGATCTGGTTCCATAAGACATGGACACTGGAAGGTATCTTTGCCTCTTTGAATACAGAGGGCAAGCTACAGTGTGCACAGTGGCTGATTTCTGCTGAGACACAACTTTAAATCCTGCCCTCACAGCAGGAAACACAGGACAGTGGGAGAGAAAGGAGATATCTATCAGGAGGCTCTTGGTGGCCATGGTATTTTCTTCCTTTATTTCTGGTTTTACCTTTTTTACTTTGTCGATTTCTTTGTCCAGTTTCCAATTTTCTTTTCCATGAGATTATAGATGTTGGGACGCTGGACCCGGTTTCCAGCAAGACAGTGTCACAGTTGGATTCCCATGGGACGCTGGACCCGGTTTCCAGCAGGTTCCACATCCGGGTTGATATGTTTAGGGATTCCCGGCCTCATTTTGAGTGTAATATCAATCCTCATTTCAAAGGGAAAAAAAAAAAAAAAAAAAAACCTTGCCCAGTCCCGCCCACTCTCCCTCTCTGCTGCCTGTAAATTCCCCACCTCTGAAGTCTCCCCCTCCTGCCCCTTTCCTGTCTTCAATGCCCTGCCTGTCTCTTCCCCGGGATTCCCCGGTGATCTTCTCCTCCCTCCCCCTCCCCTGGTCCCCTTCCATTCCAAAAGAGGAAATAGGATATCAGGCCAAGCAAAGCACTGCAACCTTAGCGGGAGGGTAGGCTCAGACGCGGGAGGGGGTTCGTAACGATCACCAGAGGGGTGGCTGGTAGGGTGAGGCAAGGTGGGGGGTAACATTGGGGGACCAGTCCTCTTCGGCCTTTCATCCATTTCATCTCTAATGAGATTTTCGTCTCATTTTGGGAAGTCAATTCCCTCCACTTAGGAGGGCAATCAATGCTGTCCAATTCATTTTATTTTATTTTTAACCACACACACACACGGGCACTCCTTCTATTCTGGGGGGCGTCAGTCCGGTTCCTCATCACCGGCAAGCAGAAGACAAAATTGTTTGTCATATAGAAACCAAAAAAGTTGAAAAAACATATACTTGCCATGGGCGAGGGGCAGGGGAGTTATATTCCCATTGGTACTCAGGTGCTGTTTGTGTTCCCACGCACTGCCCCTGCCCCTGCC